TGTCGGTGCCGGAGTCGAAATCGTCATTACCTAGGTAGGTGGATGCACCGTCGTTTAGGGGATTCGCTTCACCCCATGAGGAACGGTGTGGCTGCGGTTCTCTAGGAGGGGGGCTGGTTGCCCAGCTTGGTTGTGATCGATCCCCTGTTAGTAGGGCAGTAGACTCTCCAGGATCGTCGGCCCATATGTTTGAGGGCCCGTTGCCAGGCTGAGCTTCAGTGGTTAAGGTAGTATAGAAGTTTCCACTACCAGTTCCCCTTCCCCTTCCAAATGCTGATCCTATGTTGCCAGGAGACCGTTCTGACAGGTGGACTATCGAACGCATCCTCTCGCACAACTCATCATACTGTTGTTGTGTTCGGGGCATTGGGTGGTTGAGTGGCTGCAAGAGTTGCATGGCTCGCTGGTTGCCGACGCCTAAGGCGCGGAATGGGATAGTAGTGAGCAGTTGGAAGTTGGGAAAGTCAAACCCCACCGACTGTGCCTCAAGACGGGCCATCTCGAACCGAGTGAGGGTTACATCGATTCGTTCTCCGTGAGGCACATGGAAGTCGATGGGCTGCGTGCCTGAAGTGAGCTGGCGCTCATCTTCCAGGCGTTCGAACTTCATGCTTAGCAGGAACATGATGTAGGTTGCTGGGTCGGTGTGGACACCATCGATGTCCGCACCGTAGTTTATAATGTCAGGTGGTACCCTCATGGCGAGTGTCCTCGCTAGGCCACCCAGGCCGCGTTGTATGGCGGCTGCTCGAGCCTGTGGCGTCATGCGTCCGCTTGTGACGTTGAGCCACGCGTTGACCTCATAAACGTATTCGCGGACATGTACGTTGCCTTGGGGGCCCCAGTATGGGCCATGTGTTTGCCCATCTGTGCTGTTGTCTCCTCGGCGCATGTGTCCGATTGCTGCCCCCAGCGCGAACCATATGATGGCGAAGATAACCAACCCGAGGCTGTGAAGATATGGGTGGTTATCAGGCGCGTTGCCGCGCTGGGGTAGCGCCTTGTCAAGTCTTCGAGGCGCGTTATCTTGCGGGTCTCCCCGCCTCTGCTTCAAGTGCTGCGCTTTTGGCTCGTTGCCGAGCGGTTGGTAATAGCGTAGTGATGAAGCGTATATGGTACCAATGTTGTTGTCTAGACGTCGTACCTCTCGTGTTGCTTCTTGCTCTTGAATTGATACTCGTAAATGTAGTTGGAGTGGTGGCGCAGGGTGGTAGTTGGTCACGAAGATCATGCCAGATAGCGTGAGGATAAGAAGAGCAAGAGCTGACCACGCGAGAGCGCGGCCAGCTCCGCTACCAAGTCTGAAATGACTGTGGTAAGTCAAATAGCATCCGATCCCATGGGGAGCGGATGGCAAATAGCGTCCGATGCCGTACTGTGATGGTTCAGTAAGGGGAGTGGACGGATAAGATCGGATAATATCGATGTAGTGATCTTTCCAGCACATAGCGAACACAAGCAGTGTCCGGGCAAATAGGGCGCGCGTGCCTTGAGCCAAAGGCAACGGCGCGCGAGCTATACTCCCGATCTTATATAACATCTCCCAAAGAGCTACCCTTAAAGTCATGAGGCCCCCAAAACGGCCCCAAGAGGGCTCCGAAAACTCCAAGGACGGCCCAACAGGGCCCAAGAGCGCCCAGAACTGCGCCTCCAGAGGCCGAAATCATTGATTTTCCAATGTTTTTTTGCAATATGTTAGCGTTCTCGTCTTTTTCGGCTTTCAGAAATCCATGACGGCCCAAGCAGCTTCCAGAATCGCCCCAGAACAGCCCAAAAAGCCCCCAAGAGGGCCCCAATACGGCCCAAGAGGGCCCCAAAACGACCCAAAGAGGCCCCCAAGACGGTCCAAGAGGCAGCGAAAACGGCCCAAGAGGACCACAAGAGGGCTCCAATGCGGCCGCGAGAGGCCCCCAAGACAGCCTCCGAGGGGGCGAAACGGTGCAAAACCACCCCAACACGGCCCAAGACGCCCCCAAGAAGCCCCAGGAGGCCCCCAACAAGCCTCCAAAAAGTCCTCCAGAAGCCTCCAAAAGGCCTCCGACAAGCCCCCCAAAGGCCACACAGCGACTGGTGTGTAATGTTATCTTCCCCCCTCTGGGCGAACTGCGGCGCAGCGCCAGCCAGGTGGAAGTTGGTCACTGCGGCGCCCATGATTGGAGCCGGCGATGGAAGGGAAGATGGGGAGGGTGTATGACAAGGAGGGAGGGGGGAAAACCCCCAAAGAAGCCTCCAAAAGGCCAAAGGAAACTCCCAGGAGGCCTCCAGGAGGCCCCTAAAAGGCTCCCAAGAGGCCCCGCGACGACGTGACTGTACGTGCTCCGGACGTGCACCCCGCGAAGCGAGAGGGATCACTGGTGCTTGCCTTCTCGTCGTTTCTTTTGCGATGGGATTTGAGGCCACAAAATGCCCCCACCTCCGCTGTTCCTCCCAAGAACCCACGAGAGCGGCGACAGGTGCGCAAGGCGCAGCCCCCGATGGAGACGCGAAGTTCCAAATTATCTGCGCTGCACTCACCTCCGCCGTGCGTCCCAATAGCCCACGACAAGGGCGACTGTTGCGCAATGCGCAGCCCCAAGAGTGCCACGATGTCCCAAATGACCAGCGCTGCTCTCACCCCCGCCGTGCCTCCTCGAAACCAAAGAAGGTGGCGAAGGTTGCGCAGCTCACGAGCCCCAAGGGGTTCGCCGCTGCTGCTTTTGGGCAGCCCACGGCGCATGCCTTGACTGAGTCCCCCCAACGCGCACGCCAGCCGCCGCTTGTGGAGGCGACCTCTTCCTGCCAGTGGGCGAGGAACCATACTCTGACTGGACCGAGCGCAATTGTATCTGCTGCGCTGATGCGCGCGCCGACGCGCAGTCAGCCTTTGCTTGCCGAGCATGACCCACGCAGCATAGATCTGGAATGCTGTCTGCGCTGCGAGTCGTTGGGCCATCGTGCCGAGTGTGCCCAAGCGAGATGCGCGCGGATACGCGTGATAGCTTTAAACTGTAATGATGTCGCGGCTTACGCAACACAACACTCGTCTTCACCATTGCTGTTGCTTGGCGTGGGCAATGCCGTGGACAGCAAGCACGTCAGGAACACGGAAATCGCGTGCGCAACTTGATAAGTTGTGGCAAAAAAAAGGTAGGAGGCATTGACAGCGCTGTGCTTGTTTTCTGAAGCCTGGAGGATGGGAGGAGGAGCAAGGCTGTGTTTCTGTGATGTTTCTGGCAGAGGCTGCGAGAAGTTGGCCAAGATATGCCAGAGATCAGAAAAAAACATGCAGAACCACGGAACAACCACAGCGCTTTTATAAACAGTACACAAACGCTGCAGTGCTTATGATGTGTCTGTTTGTGCTTGATCTCTGGCAAAGACTGCGAGAAATTGGCCAAACTTTGCCAGAGACCAGAGCCATCATAATAAACAGATAACTCTGAAACGGCACATCACGGCGCTTTAGTCCCCCACTGAAGGGGAAGAAGCAGGAGGAGGATAACGAACCGAGGAGCAGGATGAGGAGGCGAGAACGGCTAGTGATGTGTTGTGGATGTTGGTGGTGTGGGTGTGGTGGGGGAGCATGCGTATACATAAATATGCAGTTATATAACATGTGTGTAAGTATGTGCATGGTTGTATACCCACCTACCTACACACATACATACATGCATGCATGAATGCATGCATGCATCCATACATGCAAACACACGTACGTATACACACGTCCATACATACACACATGCATACATGCAGACACGCATACATACACACATACGTGCATACAAATATGCGCACATACACATATGCAGACATGCTTACATGTACACATACATGCATGCATACATACACGCAGACAAACAAGCACACACGCACATACCGACTTACATACAAACAAACATGCATGCATGAATACATACATACACTCAACTACGCTCATACATGCATGCATGCATACATACACACCTGCATGCGGACATGCATACATGTATACCCACGTGCGTGCATACACACATGCACATACATATACATATATGGATGCATACATACAGCGCGCACGCATAACTACACACATCATACATCCATAGATCCGTACATGCATGCATGCATACATACATCCGTCCGTCCGTCCATCCATGAATACATGCGTACCCACATACACGCACCCATACAGACATACATATGTAATACATACACACGTACATACAAACGCACATGCATACACACATTCACACATATACACATATATATATATATATACATATATATATGCGTATATACACCCATACAGACACGCATGCAAATACATACAGACAGACAGACAGACAGACAGACAGACAGACAGACATGCATATATACATACATACATGGATACCGATATACGTACATACGTGCATGCATGCATGCACGCATACATCCATACCTACGTCCATCCATCTATCCATCAATACATATGTACATACATACATACATGCATGCATACATACATACATACATACATACATACATACATACATACATACATGTGTGCCCGTGTATGAGCAATCGTGCTCGAACAAATTATGTTAAACCAAACAAACATTCAATCACAAGGCCCATAGGCTCCCATCGGCTTCCAAGGTCGACACATTTGTTTCGCGTACTGCCGAACCGAAGCTCCTTCTCCGCCGCCTCCTCCTCCTCCTCATCATCATCATCATCTATACACTTACCCTCCTGGTCCTCCTCTTCGCCGCCACGGAGGGTGGATCTCCAGAGCACCCTGGAGGCCACAGAAGAGGCCAGAACGCCAAAAGCATGGACCCCGGATCCTCGAGCCGTCGATCCTTCGGCCGCCGAACCTTCGGCCCTCGGACCTTCGGCCTTCGAACCTTCGACCCTCGAGCGTGCGGCCCTCGGGCCTGCGGCCCTCGAGCCTGTGGCCCTCGAGCCTGCAACCCTCGAGCCTCTGGTCCTCGAGAGCCTGCGCCCATCGAGCCTCCTTCGATCTGGCCCCTCGCCGCGAGCGCGCGCCGCCCGCGCCTGGCCACGTCGCCCGCCGGGCCGCCCGAGTGGAGCAGGAGCTGGTCGGGCGGCCAGCCGCACTCCTGGCCGACGCCGCCACGGCTGCCGTCACGCCGCACAATGACACACACACACACACTTTTTGTGCGTCGGCGGCTATGCAGAGTGACTGCGCTGGCGAAGGTATTACGTGGCAAACGGTATGCGAATTGGGCCACCATGCAAGGGGAGGAAGAGGAGGCGCCTGGCGACGGCGGGGAGGGAGATGGGGAAGCCGGGCCCGCTCACAGCAAGGCCAAGCGCGTGGCAGGGCCGGCGCTCGGGGGGGGGGGGCCAGCGGCGGCGGGGCACCAGCTGGCAGTGGACACAGGGGCAGCTGCAGGGCAGCGGTCCGCGGCGGGGAGCGGGGTAACCAGGCCAGATGAGCTGGTGAATGAAGGCGAACGGGAGCAGTACGCTCCGGACTCCCCAAGAAAGGGGACGGCGGCCCGCAGCGACGGGAGAGAGCGAGAGCAGGGCGCGGGCGGCAAAATGGCCCGGACGCCAGAGCTGGAGGGACGCATCTGGACGCAGGGGCGGGGAGAGCCCCGGCAGGCGCCAGGGGAGCCGCGGAGGGACGCGGAGCGGCGCGGAGAGCCCCAGCAGGTGTGGACGCGTGGCAATGCCAAGCAGGGGGCGCGGTGTGCGGACGCGCAGCCACACGGCCTGGCCAAAACTGGGGCGGGGCGCGGGCGCGGGCGGCAACACCAGCTGTGGGCCAGGGGAGCCAAGAAGGCGGAGGGCCAGAGGACGAGCAAGCGGCGCGAGGGCGCGGCCCGTCACATGGCCGAGGCAGCGGGAGGCAGCCTGGAGCGGGGGCGAGGGGGGGGCGGACACGGAGAGCGGCAACAGTAACAAGGCGGCGAGGCGCTCGTGGAGCGCTGGCCAGCCTGCGGACGGGCGAGGAGAGCCCGGAGCCGCGGCAGGGAGCACCGACAGGGCTGAGGGGAGGGTGGAGCGGCCAAGGGGCCACCGTGGCGGGCCACGCCACCGTGGCGGGCCACGCGAGGGAGGACCTGCAGCATGCAGGGCAGGGACGCACGGCCCCGGCAAGAGCAAGGGGGCTCACGCCTCCGCGCAGCCCGGGGGGACGCGGGAGGGTGGGGGCAGGGAGCGGGGGGGGGGCACCGAACTGGTGCAATCATGAGGGGTCCGCCGCGTTGCCTGGACCTGAACCTCCTGCCGGGTACCGAACCGTGCGCCAGTTGGCAGGCGCGCCCGGCACCGACTGCGCGTCCGTGATCACCTGAATGCGCCTCGCCAGCCTCTTCATGCAGCGGAGCCCGCCCAGGTTCAGCTGATCGTAGCGGCCTGCCAGCTGGCTGTGGCGCAGCACCCCCATCTCGTGGAAGAGGCGGTCCTGGCGCTCCACGCGGTGCTCGCACGACCACTTGTTATTGTGCGTGGCCTTCGCTGGGAACACCACTGAGACTGGACCCCTGACCAGATCCTCCTCGCATGACTCCACCGAGATCTCATTCGCCACCGTCCTCCAGTCTTGCTGCCGTTCGCCGTGCCCGTCGAAGTACACGCTCAAGATGCGCATGTCCTCCGCAGGTCCAGCTGGCATGCTGCGCCCTGGTTCGAGGCCTCCACCAGCATCAACACCATCGAATCCCAGACATCTTCTCTTCTCATCCTCCGCCGTGCGATCAACTGCATCACCAGGACTTCCGAGACCACCCACAACGGAGACGGGACACCTGTTCGTTGGCGAGCCTCGGGGCATCAGTCACTGCGACTCTCTTCACCCAACTCTCCTCGCCCCCCAAATGCTCCAGACCGTCCCCTCCACAGATGACGTCGGAAACATACAGATTCACCTCCTCGCAGATAGTCTGTTTACCGCACGGTTCCCTCAGCATCCAGATTTTCTCAGGAGAAAGGGTGCCGGTCCTACCTGCATGAGCAGCGGCGACGTTTCCAGCAAGGAAGGCGGCAAGTTCGCGGCGGCGTCCTGTCTCGTCGACCGCATGGTGAGGCCTGTCTCCCAAGCCCTGGCCGCGAGCTGTCTCGATGTCACGGCAGACCTTACCCAAGTTCAACACATTGTCGAGCGAGGGCCGCCCCTTGACCTTGCACAGCCGCCGCGCGCCCATGGCAAGGTAGCTGACAGGAGGGAGTGGCCGAGCCCCACTAGGACCGTGCTCAGGGTCCTGCCTGTCCAGCTGCTCCTTCCAGACATCCCCTATCAGGCGAGAGCACCCACCTCATAACAACGTCGACAGGCTCCGCTCCATCTGGCTGCTGTCGAGGTCCTGGCCCCAGGGTCCTCTCGGGGTCACCGTCGTCGTCGCTGTAGTTCACGCGAGCGCTGGAGCCGACCTCGGCCCTAGTCCAGAACTCTTGTTCCCCTGCGGCGAGGCGCAGCAGCACGAGCGCGGCCGCCATCTCCGCTGGTGTGCTCGGCCTGCGTTAGCCTGGCGCCGTTCGCGGCCGAGCCGCCACACCTCGCCTCCAGCCGCGTGCCCGATCCACCAGGCGAGCGGCCAGCTCCAGGCCAGCGTGCCCTGCTCCTCCGCCGCCTGTGGCACTGGGCACTCCAGCGGCTCGACGGTCGGGCAGTTCGGCTCGAAGCCGAGCAGTCCCGACGGCGCCTCGGGCACGGGAGCAGGCGGCGGTCCTCCCGCCGAGCGCGCTATGGCGGCCTCGCGCTCCCAGGCCACCTGAGACACGTGCACCTGACCGAGGTGAGCTACCTGCAAGCAGAGAATCGCCAAAAACAGGGAGGTTCGGCGGGACATGAACAACCATGTCTCCCTGAACCGAAAGGGGCTGCAGAGCAAGCGACGCTGCCCCGCTCTGCTGCTGATACTACGACACCCTACTCCCCGCAGGTCATGTCCGTGCACGCACCCCCAGCATCATCATTATCATCATCATCATCATCATCATCATCATCATCATCATCATCATCATCATCATCATCATCATCATCATCATCATCATCATCATCATCATCATCATCATCATCATAATCATCATCATCATCATCATCATCATCATCATCATCATCATCATCACCATCATCATCATCACCATCATCACCACCATCATCATCATCATCATCATCACCATCATCACCACCATCATCACCCCCATCATCATCATCATCATCATCATCATCATCATCATCATCATCATCATCATCATCATCATCATCATCATCATCATCATCATCATCATCATCATCATCATCATCACCATCACCGTCATCGTCATCATATCGTCGTCGTCGTCGTCGTCGTCGTCCCATTCCTCCTTCCACCCCCTCCCCTCCACGAGGGGAGAGGTAAAAAGGCAATGATAAGAGGGGACCAGCTCAGGGAGGGAAACATCGAGCTTGAATCGGCGACACATCGCTAAGAGACCAGCGCTAGACCCAGACTGCATGCCCGCCTGACGTTGCCGCCAAAGGGAGGGGAACAATAGAGGGCATGGAGAGCCTCGGCCCTCTCATCCCCACGGCCAAGTGCGGCGGCGGGGGAGGAGGCAGATAGGAGGCGGTGAAACAAGGGCGCGAAGATCGGATCGGACGAAAAAAGGGGGGGGAATAAAGGGGGCGGGGTATCGTACCCGCTAATGTGGCTGATTTCTCTGGCGCGTCCAGGCGCCGGAGGCTCCACGGTGTCGCAAAACACGCCTGGCGGCGGAGCCGAAACCGGCGAGGAAATGGGGGACCCATACACGCGCGAAAAATCAGGTCGTGCCGCATCTTCGGAAATGCCTTATCTGCCCCATCGCGCCGCTATCCGTGTCGAACGCGTCCAATCTGCGTCGAATCCGTGTCGGACCCGCGTGGCGCCCTCGTCGGGCACCAGAGAAGAGCGCGACTTGCAAAACGGGCGGGGCCCGGGGCGCCCCGAACGTGGAAGTGACAACGGTGGAGCGGGGCGACCCAGCAGAGAAAGAGGAGAAGGGGGGGTGGCAGGGGAAGGGCCAAGGCTTAGCGGGCCCCCTGAAACGGCAAGGCCGCTTTCTCATCGTTTCCGAAATCTTTTGAAAATTGAAACGGTAAACCAAACGGCAACCGGAAACGCAAAAACACGGCTCCGGAATTGGATCCAGAACCGGAGCCAGCAAAACAACGGCGACAGAACCGAAAAAAACGGCGCCAGAACCGGCAAGACAACGGCAAATGGAACAAGTGAAAAACCAGCACTGTCGTTTCCAGGGCCCGATAAGGGCCAGGGGCGGTTCGGATTCTCCGGCTTGTCTGCAAAAGGTCCCACTCGTGCCAGCCAGCACAGCCGAGACTTTGGGAAAGCTGGGCAAAGGAATCCCTGTGGCGCGGGCGCGGCGCCTTGCTGCGATTGGGGCTGCCCTGGCCCACCTTGGAGTTCCGGACGCGCGCCCGCATCGCCACCCTCCCCCAACCCCGCTCCTCCTCCCGCGGCGGCTGCCCAAGAGCTTCGGGAGAGCAGACCCGCGGCTGGCGCGAAGGGCGCAGCCCTGAGAGAGGACCCGCGGCTGGCGCGAAGGGGGCAGCCCTCTGAAAAGGCAGGGAGGGCTCCTCGAAGCCATCCCGCACCCTCTCGCTTTCTTGAAAGCCTCCTTGGAAGCCTCCGAGCCCTTCTACGAAACCTCCACCCAACCCCCACCCCCTGCACCCGCAAGGCCAAAAATGCATCCTTTCCACACAACGAGAGGAAGGGTCTGGAGGGGAAGGACATCGCATCGTGCTCCCAGGCTAAAGGCCGACCGAATGGGGTTCGAGAATATGAGGTAGGAGGACCGCGCCGAATCGCCAATGCATCGCCGATGCATTGGCGACGCCTGCGATGCATCGGCGTGGAGAAACCCGGGCTCCGCATCGGGCCGCATCGCCGAATGCCTCGGCGATGCGGCGCGGTCCTCCCAACCCCCGGGCTGCTCGGACCCCTTCTTGGGCCGCCTGGGCACGTGCGGCGCGGGGGCGCTCCGACCCCATCCTCGGCGCCCGCGCCCCACAGGCGCCCCCGAGCCAGCACCTCCGCCACCGCGGGCATGAACCAGTCGCCCGCCGGGGCAGGCCACCTCGGAGGACGCCAACAACGGCGTGACAGAGGAGGAGGAGGAGGAGGAGGAGGAGGAGGAGGACAAGGAGGAGGAAAAGGAGGAGGAAAAGGAGGAGGAGGAGAAGGAGGAGGAAAGCCAGCTGCGCTCCGCCGCCACCTCCTCCGCCTATTGCTCCTCATCCACCTCCTCCTCCTTTTCCTCCTCCTCCTCCTCCTCCTCGCCCTCCTCCTCCGCCTCCTCCTCCTCTCCCTCCTCCTCCACGTCATCCAGCTCATCCCCAGTGAATCGTGAATCATCGACAAGCCAACCTCGGACGAGCCAAACAACCTGTGGACCGGTGAGAGGCCTGAGGGGGGCAGGGTTAACAGGCCGTCGTCGGCCAGAGCCCCAGATTTCTACCGCCGGCGGGGGGAGGGTCGAAAAACATAATAAAGGCATGAACAGAAACCTTCGGAGTTCTGAGCGGACTCCTTTGGTCGGCGCTGACTCCACCCTGGCGGCGCCTCCCGCGCCGCCCCCTGGCGCGCGAAGCGCGCCAGAAGAATGGGGCCCCGCGCCGACATCCGGGAAAGATGTGGGAAACTCACGGCGTCGAAAGCCAGAATGGGATCCCGCTTAGAACAAACAACATGACGTCGGAGGCACGGGCCTGCACGTTGGTCCGACATTGGTCACCCCACGTCGGGGAACACGAGCTGGCATGACTGGGGTCGCCTTGGGGCCTGCGAGGTTTTCCCCCCCGACATCTGGTGGCCAAAATCGATATCGAATCAAACCGATCGGATCGAAGTGGGCCCTGCGGCCTTCGTGCCACTCTCGGGGGCCGCCCGAAACAAGCCTCCTCCAAGGCGCCGAAGGCCGCCGTCGTGGGGCCGCCGATCGGCACCCCCTCTGCAAACGGAGGGGGGGAAGGAGGAGGAGGAGGAGGAGGACGAGAAGGATGGGAAGAGTAGGAGGAGTAGGAGGAGTAGGAGTAAAAGGAGGAGGGAAGGAGGAGGAGGAGGAGGAGGAGGAGGAGGAGGAGAGAGGAGGAGGACGAGGAGGAGGAGAGGAGGAGGAGGAGGAGAGGAGGGCGAGGAGGAAGAGGAGGAGGGGAGGAGGAGGAGGAGGAGGAGAGGAGAGGAGGAGGAGGAAGAGGAGGAGAGAGGATGGGGGGGCATGAGGTACGAGGAAGAGAACGAGAGGAGGAGGGGAGGAAAAGGAGGAGGAGGAGGCATACGAGGAGAGGAGAGGAGGAGGACGAGAGGAAGAGGAGAGAGGAGGGGGGAGGAGGGCGAGGGAGGAGAGGGAGGAATGGGGGCGAATGGGGAACGAGGAAGAAAAGCGAGAGAGGAGGAGGAGGAGAGGAGGAGGAGGAGAGGAGGGAGAGGAGGAGGAGGAGGAGGAGGAGGAGAGGGAGGATGGGGGGGATGGGGAACGAGGACGAGAAGCGAGACGAGGAGGAAGAGGAGGAAGAGGAGGAGGAGGAGGACGAGGAGGAGGAAGAGGCGGCGGCGGCGGCGGTGGCGGCGGCGGCGGAGGCAGAGGGGGCGGAGGCCGACCCCAGGGCTGGGAGCGCCGGACAGGAGGACGAAGACAGCGAGCTGTGAGCAGAAGGGGCCGAGCGGCCTGAGGAATTGCGCCGAGGAGGAAGAGGAAGCGGCGGAGGAGGTGGAGGAGGAAAAGGCGGAGGAGGAGGAGGAGGAGGAGGAGGAGGAGGAAAAAACGGAGGAAGACAGAAACACCGCGAGCAGGAGGAGGCTGATGGGGCCTGAGGAGGGGCGCCAGCGCCCGCGCGGACGGGCCAGAGGAAGACGAGGAACGGCGGCGGAGGGAGGCAGAAGAGGGAGGAGGAGGAGGAGGGTGAGGAGGAAGAGGAAAAGGAGGAGGATCAGTGTAAACCCAAGAGTCCTCAACGATGTTGGAATTCACCCTCCCTCCGAGCTCCCTCTTCAGAGGCCCCCGCAACGGTTCAGTTCCATTGAGGGAACTGCCTCGTTGGAAGACAACCGTTTGAAGACCTTCAAACATGCCAGCACGTTTGTCTCTGGATACCCACGCCACGGATCAACCTGACTGCGAGTGCAGGGAGACGGCCGGGGGGCCGCTCCTGCACGGGGTCCGTAGGTAGAGGCAAGGAGTGGGACTCCTTTGTCCATGGCACTGCGCAGCAATCGGTGCACAAAGGTTAGTTAGCCAATACTTGGGCCAATGCAGTTGCGGAAGGGCTGCAATAGGGAAGTGAGCTGACTTCACGCGCGCCCCCCGCCCCGAAACCTGCCAGCTCCCGATGGCCTCGGGCCCGCGAGAAACAACGGCAGGGATCGGGAACAGAGGTGCGAATTCCACTCGCAGCCCCGACTCATTCTCCGCTCCAAACGAGGGTGCATTGCCTAGGATGGCGGGGAAGAGAACCAACCCCGCCACACGGGGCACTTAGGAGTATCTACCCGACTTTGCGGGCCCAGGGTGCGCCCCCAAAAAACGCTCCGGCACTCTTGGGCGATACAGCGTCGCCACAGGCGACAGGGATGGGAGAGCAAGGGAAAGAGACAAGAAAAGTGGCACCAGCATCCTTCGATGCAGGCGTTGCCACCAACGCGGCGCACGCGTGAAGTAGGGTGGATCAGAGTTTCGACGACAACTCGATCAAAGCAAAAGTATATCTCAATCGCGGGGATATCCAGGCCCAAAAGGTTGCAAGGGCACACCAGGCCCAAATTTGATAAGTATTCGAATAGTTGTGATGACAACTCATCTCTGAGAAAGGATCACGCGTATTTGACAGATGAGAGCTCCAATGTACTCGCGAAGTGGGCCTTCTCATTCTCTTCGCGGGCGTTGCGTGCAACGTCGTCTCGTTCCATTGCCGTGCCGAGCAGCCATGTCGTTTTTCTCCAGACGCTCGCATTCTTTCCGGAGTGCATCCTGTGCTCGAGGCTCGAGCCGCGACCTCTTCCATGGTGAGGTTGCGGGTGGCGAGGTTGCGGGTGGCGATGCAAGGCCGCATCCAGTGGGTGGAGTCAAGCTTGCTCCCGCGGTTTTGTCCGTGATCCTGAGCGCAAGGCATCGCAGGGACCACGAGGGACTTGTCGTTCATCACATGCAATCGCACAGCGCCTGCAGGATTGGCATCCTGCACTGGGCGGTAGTAAGGAACAGCAGTGATGTCGCGTGGTCCGTCTGGAAGCAGCGCATTAGTGATGCGCCTGTCCGTGGTGCCTCCCGCTGGCTCGTCCCTGATCACGGCGTGGTTGTGGAGGTGACGATTGGTCCGTCGTTCCACCTTGGACCAGGGTGGTCCGTCACCGTCGGTTGTCTGTAATCGACGAGTGTTTCTGTCCGTGCGAGTCCGGATACGAAGAGCAGAGTCGTGGCGGACTTTCCGTGCTCGGACGACGTCCGCGGCGAACTCGCGTTCTGCCGCTCGTTCTTTCTTGGACATCGTATTCCGGAACTATGGTAACGCATGGTCGGGTTGACCAGTAGCCTGGGCGCGAGCATCCCGACCGAGGGCGTTGCTCTTGCCGTCGGTAGTAATCTCGGGACGCCTGTAGAAGCGAACGATGCCCGCCCAGGGATCGCTGAGATGGCGGTGGTCGTTGGCGGAACCGCCCACACATCGCGGAAGTACGTCTCCCCTCCGAAGCTCGACGTAGTTTCAAAGCGACGAATGACGTCGATTTTGCCCGCTGGAACAGGGAGTCCGATGACGTCGTCGGCGGGGCGAAAGAGCTGAGTCCGCGGTGTACGGGCGCGGCGTAGGATAGCCCCGCGGCGCTGGTCCCAGTCGGCAGGCTCGGGGGCCGAATCCAAAGGCTCGGGGGCCTCTTGAGGCGGCCCCCCGGGGCCGAGAGCCTCAGAGTGCTCTGGCGCGGTAGGCGTCGAGACACTGGGGTCATCCCATTCTGCTTGGTACAGGAGAGGTGGATCGTCCTGCGCTGCGACGCCCAGAGGCCGACATGTCTGGAACGAGATCAGCTCGCGTTTCTCCGGGTTGTGGCACCGTAGGAGGCCTTCTCGGACAGGAAGAACCGGTCTTCTATCAGGAACCGCAATGTTTCTGACACAATGAACGCGGCAGTGTCCCCCGTCAGGGTTTTTCGCATAGGTAGCTGTGTCGATGACAAGGTAGTCGCCAGACCATCGCCCACCAGAGCGGCGGTAACCCATGAACAAAACCTCTCGAGTAGTCTCGCCGAACTTCCCCGCGGACGGGTAGAGGTGGGGGGTGGGGCATTTCCAAAAGATACGAACACCGAATGGAACCATCTGTCCTTTGAAGGACTCTCCGGAGTGAACTTCGCGCGAAGAAAAGTCGTCGCATGCATCCATAGTCGCAGTAACTCCGTGGCACGGTCGAGCACTGCTTGCATGGCCTGTTTCCACCACCAATGAGCAAGTCCGGAATTGTGGAGTACCGCCCGTGCGGCCTGCATGACAGACTTGACCGCGCGCTAGGCCATTCGTTTGTTCGTAGTCGATGTGGCGTGCTGGTATCATGACGCCACCCCAACTGTCGGCATGCTTCATGTAGTTCCCCACAACTGCATGTGCAAATGCGTTAGGACCTCATCATTGGGCGCAGGGAACTCCAGGAGCGATGCCTCGGTGGTCTCGGCGCATTTGTACTCAGCGGGGCATGTTATGATACTGCACGTGAACTCTCCCAGCGCAATGAGAGCGCACTTGTCGCCGCACTTGTCGGCAGCCTCGTCCGCGGCAAGTACGACGCGGTCGGCAGTCAGAGCCTCGCCGAAACACTGTGGTACAGAGGCTTCATATTGAACGCCGTCGGCGGTAAGGTCACGAAGTGGATTCGAGCGGCGCTGTCGTCGACATGGCGCGTTGCGTGCCAAGATCCGCGCACAAATCTCGCAATCCAAATACGTCGCAGTGCGTTCAATGTAGTGCGAAGGGTCGATGGGAGGACGTGGTCTGCCTGGCAATGCAGGTGCGACCGCTGGCTCAGCCGTCGGAACCTGGCTGTGGACGCACGTGGCTGTCTGCCGCGTCGGTGCTGGTGTAAGCACTGGCGC